ATGGATTCTGTGCCTCCTGAAATAACTGTTGCTACTGATATTTCTGTTGCTTCTCCACAGAACACAGAACATGGTGATAATCAGCAACCAGAACCTGAGCTCACCACGACATCTACAGGAGCTGCATCACCGTCTCCAGAGCAAGAAACAGTGACGGAAGTGGATCCACCGCGCCAATCATCTCCGATAAAGAATACGCACAAGATGACGACGCGAGCAAAGAACAAAGTTTACAAGCCTTCTAAAAAGTTTTCCTTTGTGGTCAACAAGAAAACTTTGATGCCCACTGAGAACGAGCCAACCTCTGTCCGTGAAGCTCTCAAAGATGAGCGTTGGAGAGGGTCCATGAGTGAAGAATTTGATTCTCAAGTTCGCAACAGAACATGGAGTCTGGTTCCAAGGAAACGTTCCTATAACCTAGTTGGATGTCGATGGGTGTATAGAATAAAACGCAGAGCTAATGGCACTGTTGAACGGCTCAAATCACGTCTTGTAGCTAAAGGGTATCATCAGCGACCTGGAGTTGATTTTCAGGACACTTACAGTCCAGTCATCAAACAACCTACGGTACTACTTGTTCTAGGCTTGGCCGTATCAAACAATTGGGAGCTGCGTCAGTTGGACGTCAACAACGCGTTTCTACAAGGAAACCTCACAGATGAAGTCTACATGGAGCAACCCCCAGGATTCATTGATAAAGACAAACCTAATCATGTATGCAAGCTTCACAAAGCCATCTACGGCCTCAAGCAAGCACCGCGTGTTTGGTACATGGAGTTGCGAACTTTCCTACTACAATCGGGATTCAAAAATTCACTGTCAGATGCCTCTCTATTCATCCTACACACGGGTAACATTATCATTTATGTGTTGATCTATGTGGATGATATAGTGGTTACAGGAAACAACTCCAACAAGGTTCAAACCTTCATTGATATACTCAGCAAACGCTTTTCTCTCAAAGACCTTGGAGATTTATCTTATTTTCTTGGGATAGAAGCACAACGTTCCTCTGCAGGTTTACTCCTCACTCAGCGCAAGTATATCAATGATCTATTGAGCTGCCTCAATATGTCTGCTGCAAATCCTGCTTCCTCACCAATGGTTCACACAGATTGTCTGCAACTAGCTTCGGGAACCCCACTCGCAGATGGCACAGAATACCGAATGGTTGTAGGCAGTCTCCAGTATCTTCACTTTACTCGTCCTGACATCGCTTTTGCAGTAAACAAGCTATCCCAGTTTATGCATAGCCCCACTGATTTACACTGGCTTGCAACAAAAAGAGTGCTTCGGTATCTGGCTGGTACTCGCGATCGAGGTGTGTTTTTACGCAGCAACAACACTCTTTCACTCCACGCTTTCTCTGACTCAGACTGGGCTGGTAATAAGGACGACTACACCTCAACAAGTGCTTATATAGTCTATCTTGGTTCAAACCCAGTTGTATGGTCTTCAAAGAAGCAGAAAACTGTTGCTCGAAGCTCAACGGAAGCTGAGTATCGTTGCGTTGCAGACACGGCTGCTGAGCTTCTATGGATTGTCTCTCTGATGAAAGAACTTGGAGTACAGTCAACCTCTCAACCAGCTATCTATTGCGACAATGTTGGCGCAACATATCTATGTGCTAACCCAGTCTTTCATTCTCGCATGAAGCATGTTGCTTTAGACTATCATTTCATTCGGGAACTTGTTCAATCAGGATTCCTCAGAGTATCGCATGTTTCCTCTAAGGATCAACTCGCCGACGCTCTTACAAAACCAGTCTCACGTTCACTACTGGAAGCACACTCGTTCAAGATGGGACTTTCCTCCGGTCGTTCATCTTGAGGGGGCGTATAGTGAGATAGTCAAATCCCCATCATATCTTCATATATGTCAACTATATATTCTTGCATATAATGCTCATATCTCCTTAGGGCTTCCATCGTGTATTATATAAACACTGCTGTACCTTTGTCAATATTATTAATAACAATCATCTCAATTCTATATGTTTTTGCTATAATCAGTTGGCGAAATTCTTCTGATTTGTTTCAACATAGAAAATCAACACCCAAAGTTATCTGGCCAATTTTATACTTCACGATTTTCATTACTAATAGTTTTCATTTTACTTTCTTTTCTATGTTACAATTCTTCCCTATCAAAATTTCTCGATCTTTTAGAATGCTTGGACGTTTAAATTATTAGTGGCTTAAACAAACTACATGTTCGGATTGTAGATATTATTACATTTCTTAGACAGCTGGTTTAAGAAAAAAATTATTAAGTTGTAGATTGAGGGGGAGGGTCCATTAAATTAGTAAGAAACTAATTTGAAAGGAAAATTATAAGCCAAGCATATATACAAATTTTCCAAATAAACACCATAACTGTTGGCAAAAAAAAGTCATCATAACTAAAATTTAATTAATTTTTGTTCATTCTACTTATCACTTTATATATAATTTCTAATAAAAAAATTCAGTACTAAAATTTCTGATTTGCATAAGATAAGGACAATGAATAGTTTAAAATAATTTATAATTGTATAGCTACTTATATTTTTATAATAGATTATAATATTTATATATTAAAATTAATATACTAAATTTATAATTAAAATTAATAAATTCATACAAAAATATGCGCGTAGCCCGGACTGGCTCTAGTACCATTATAATTAACTTAGGATAATTTTTATACGAGTTTCTTTTTTCTTATTTTTTTATTTGACAACGAATGACTATTCAATTACTCAAACTTGGGGTTGTCTGGGTAATCAGACTGGAACAGAAAAATCAGTGAAACAAAAACCTCTATGAAAAGACCTAGCAAATTTTGATTCTTTAGCTAAGACTTGGCCGGACATGAGGATCCTTTATCATCGCGATCAAGTTCTTGCAATCCGTCCCAAATTTTTGGCATGTGGAATGTTGTTGCATGTTCTCCATTACCCATTGCAATGCTTTTATTTCAGTATGCAAAGTTATTTCTGGATATCTAAGGTTTGGTGTCCCATAAGTTGAATCTTCCCTAATATGTCCATCCAAACCCAACCGCAACAATTGAACTCGTCCATAGAATTCCATGAACCATCAACCACACAGATATTGCTCAAGCTTAAGACTTGGGACTCGTCCATATTATCGTCAAGAGTAATTGTTGTTATCATCACATTTGCATCGAACCATGCTTGATATTCACTTTCCGTAAATCGGACTAACTCGAAAGAGTCTTTATCTATCCCCTAAATACTTTGTCATTCTGAACCTTCTAAATATAAAATGTAAACAATTTTCATAATACAACTATCAAAAGAGAATAATTTGGATGCGAAAACGCTGATTTTCCACTATGGAGAAAGGATTTAAATCAAAGAGAATGACTTTCATTTAAGATAAATTTCCTAGGATAAGCCTAAAAAAGTTTTTGTCACAAATATAGATTTTAAAAATAAAATGACCAAAATATACTTAAATGTTTTATCAAAAATAAGTAAAAAAACACTTATACCCTTTAGCTTAACTAATCCTAGATCTTTTTGTTTAGAGTTGAGGAGTATAGATTTGGGGATAGAAAATCCAATTTTAGAAAATAAAATCTAATTGAAATTTTCAAAATAAAAAAAGTTATTTGGTCATTTTAGTTTTTGATGTCTATTTTTGTGATAACTTTAAAAAGTCTATTTGAGAGAATTGCCCATTTTTATCACCAAATTATGTAGAACGTCTATAAATTAATACTCGATAAATTAATAATCTCTATAAGCTAATAAACTTCGCCGCTCCCAACTCGGACCGGTTTAAAATTTGATACAACTCGATAAAATAATAAGATAATAATTTTGTAAAAATTCTATGTAAGTATATGGTCCCACTAAAACTATAAATTAATAATTTATATGTATACATATTTTATATAAATATGAACCTATCATTATATTATTTATTTTATATTCACAATAAAATTATCTTTATATTTTCTTGACACTATATATTTTCCATGATATTTTGTAATATTATATCTAAAACCATATTTAAATTATATGACATATCTATTATATACACTAAATAATATAATAAAATAAATATGAATGTGAAATTTTTAAAATAATAAATGATATCTATACACTAAAATAATATTATTTTATCATAGAAAGTAATTATCTCTTAAAATAATAAATCTAAAAAACCTTTTTTATAAATTAATATTTCTATAAATTAATAAAATTTTAAAGTCTCAGTATTATTGATTTATTGAGGTTTTATTGTACTAATTCTTAAGTTCGCTTTCTTTTTTTCACTTAATAAAACACTTTGGTCTTCGTTTTCAGCCATGTTCAGGAACGCGATAGATCTTAGTCGGGCAGTTAGGTTGGACTTAGTGTGTAGAGAGAAAATCGGAGATTAAGTGGGGATTATACGAAGCAAAAATTTTAGACTATTTGATATGTTATGAAATATGTTAATCTTTAATTGTGTATGACATTAATATATTTTCATGTTTAGAATCTTCTAAAAGACATAAATAGAATATATAAAGTTAAAATGATATAATTTCATCAAAATTATAATTATAAGTTATATTTATTAAATTTTAGATCAAATAAATCCATAAAAAATATTATTCAAAAAATATAAAAAACAAAAAAAACAAAAAAAAACAGAGTAGGCAGTCACCTAGGTGTCTAGACGAGGCGGACTAAAAGGATTAAAATCAGATAATCGATTTTCTATAAAGATTTAGCATAAATTGGGGCGGAAAAAAGTCGCCTGTGCAACCAATTTTTAGAATAGAGGTTTTTCGTGAGAAAGTGTTCTGTAGTTTTGGACCTTATTAAAAATAAAGAAAAATCAACATATAAACTGATAAGGACGAGTCCAGAAGAATTAAAGAGCATCACCTACTTTATTGTCTTCTTCTTCCCCTTCTATCTTCCACCATTGATTGCGCTTTTTGATTGAAGTGCCTATAAACAAAAAGAGCAAAGATTCCTCATTCCTTCTTCCACGCACGTCATCTCCTTTCTCTTCTTCTTCTTCTTCTTCCATTTCATAGCTACAGTTACCAAGAAATGGACAATGTCGTTTACATGACTCTTTGATTCCTTTTACTTGTGGAGAAAACTGTTTTTTTGCTTTAAATCTGATTCGAATTGCTTCTATTAAAGTCATGCGGATAACATTTTCGATGATACTAGTCTTAGTGATAAGCGTTTCAGGATCTTCCGACTTTGAAGCTCTTTTGGAGATCAAGAAAGGCATACAGACAGACCCATCTGGTAAAGTTGTTACTTCATGGGATGCAAATGCTCTATCCTCTGATATGTGTCCTCAAAACTGGTACGGAGTTTCTTGTAGTAGCGGAGATGTTACATCCATAGATTTGAACGGTTTAGGTTTGCTTGGGGATTTCAGTTTCCCTGGTCTCCGAAAGCTTCAAAACTTGTCCATTTCGAATAATCACTTTTCTGGAACTCTCTCCAGGATTGGTTCTTTCAAGTCTCTCAAGTATTTGGATGTGTCGAACAACATGTTCCGGGGCTCATTTCCTTCTGGAGTTGATAATCTTGACAAGCTGAAGTACCTTGATTTGCAAGGAAATAGTTTCTCTGGGGAAGTGATGAGCTTGTTTTCTCAGTTACATAGTGTGGATTATGTAGACGTAAGCAGGAACAACCTGTCGGGTTCGTTAGATATGGGTCTCGCAAAGTCAAGCTTTGTTTCTTCGATTCGGTACTTGAATGTGAGTGGGAACTCTTTGGTTGGACAGCTTTTTGCTCATGATGACGACATCCCGTTTTTCGATAGCTTAGAGGTGTTTGATGCTAGCAGTAACCGTTTCTCTGGCTCTGTTCCTTTCTTCAGCTTTGTTGTCTCTCTCAAGATTCTTCGGTTACAAGACAATCAGTTCTCGGCTTCTTTACCACAGGGCCTTCTGCAGGAGAGTTCAACCATCTTATCCGAGCTAGATCTTAGCCTCAATCAAATTGAAGGTAAATAAAGTAAGATTCTATTATTTTTCATTTTTTTAAAGCATTTCTTGGCAAATCTTTATACTTGTCGCAGGTCCGGTTGGAAGTATAACCTCTTCAACGCTAAAGAAACTCAATTTGTCGTCAAATAGACTATCAGGGCCATTACCTTTGAAAGTAGGCCATTGTGCCATTATTGATCTGAGTCACAATAACATCTCAGGAGACTTGTCAAGGATACAGAGTTGGGGGGATTATGTAGAATCTATACGGTTGACTTCAAACTCACTCACTGGAACACTACCTAGCCAAACTTGTCAGTTCTTGAGGCTGACTTCTCTGGAGGCGGCTGACAATTCGTTGCAGGGTGTGCTACCTTTTATCTTAGGAACTTATCCTGAACTGAAAGAGATTGACCTCAGTCATAACCAGCTTAGCGGATACATACCTGAAAATTTGTTGGTGTCTGAAAAGTTGACGTATCTCAAACTGTCAAACAATAACTTCTCTGGTTCACTTCCTCTACAAGATGCAGCAAGTAGTGCAGGAAACCTTAGCTTGACTAATATTGATCTGTCGCATAACTCCTTAAGTGGAGTTCTCTCCGATGACCTAACCCGCTTCCGAAATTTGGTTACTTTCGACCTTTCTTATAACAACTTCGAAGGGAATATACCTGATGGCCTCCCAGACAGCTTAAAGGTTTTCATTGTCTCTGCCAATAATTTCTCTGGAAACCTACCTGAGCGTCTTCGACGGTTTCCAGATTCAGCTTTTCGTCCTGGGAATGCGTTACTAGTGATTTCTGGAGAAAATCATAAAGATATAATGACCTTAGGAAAGCATATGAAGTCTTCCATAAAGGCAGCTCTGATCATAGGCTTAGTAGTGGGTGCTGCGGCTCTACTTGCACTTGTCTGTGTGTGGTTTCATTTTATGCTAAAGAAGCAACACGAGGAAGAAGAAAAGAGTAGCCTGCAAAATACTGAGCCTTTTCCTCCTTCTCATGTGACTGCAGAAAAGTGTGTACCTTCTTCGTCTTCTACTTCCACAACAAAGGCCAAGCTGCTGGTTTCTTCCCAATATAGTGACTCTGAGAATCCTTCATCGCAAGTATCTCCATCGCTGTCTAGAATCCATAATTCTCGCCAACCTTGTGTGAAGCTGGATGGGAACCTATACATTTTCGACAACACTTTTCTTACGCTTACAGCAGAGGAACTGTCTCGTGCTCCAGCTGAAGCTATGGGAAGGAGCTGCCATGGAACACTGTACAGAGCAGTGCTCAACTCTTCTGATTCTGTATTAGCTGTCAAATGGTTAAGGGAAGGGACTGCAAAAGGCATGACAGAATTTGCTAGGGAGATAAAGAAACTTGGGAACATCAAACACCCAAATCTTGTTTCTCTTCAGGCTTACTATTGGGGCCCGAAAGAACACGAGAAGCTTATCATTTCAAGATACATTGATGGACCCTGTTTAGCTTTCTATCTCCAAGGTAAAAAAAAGACTTGCATAGTAAGGAAGTAAGGATCTTGATTAAGAAGTTATTTGATGTTTCACTCGTTATCTTTTGTCTGGTTTGCAGAGGCTGGCTTGCTAAACCTCCCACCATTGTTGCTCGAAAATCGTCTTAAAATTACTCTGGACATAGCCACTTGTCTTAGTTACCTGCACAACGAGGAAGCAATTCCACACGGGAATCTGAAATCAACCAATGTTCTCCTTAAACCTCCTGAGTTTAGTGCACTCCTAACAGATTACAGTCTCCATCGGTTAATCACACCAGAAGCCACATCAGAGCAAGTTTTGGATGCAGCTGCTCTCGGCTACTGCCCTCCAGAGTTTGCTAGCTCAAGTAAACCCTACCCTTCTATGAAAAGCGATGTGTACGCCTTTGGTGTCATCTTGTTAGAGCTTCTAACGGGAAAAGTGTCAGGAGATAGCGATGATCCAGGGGTCGTTGAATGGGTTTTAATGCTTGTGGGACAAAACCGTGCGGCCGAGTGTTTTGACCCATCCATTATTAAGACAAAAAATGCCTCTGGAGTTCTTACTCAGGTCTTGCAGATTGCTCTGAGCTGTATCTCACCGGCACCAGAGAGGTCCGACATGAAATCCGTCTGTCAAGAGCTCTTTAGAATTGTTCTCAAAGGGACAAATTAAAAGGCAGAGAGATAAACACTATCATCACTCATGTAATTGGCCTCATGTTTCTACATTAATTCCGTTTGTAAACTGTAAATCTTAAGACGAATAGTAACCACTTATTTGGCTCTCGGGGGACTTCGGACCTTAAATTCTCTCCAAATCTTCTGGTGCAATGTATATCTCCAGAATGTAATTATACATACTTGTCTTGTTCGGTGTGGTAGTAAACAGTTTTCATATGGCGAAATTATGAATACCTTTATTATGCTTTTCTGTTTTTATTCAGTCGTGATGATTAGCTCTGATTGAAAATTTTGCTATTGTTATATGTTATTTCTTTTTAATCCCTTATATATTAAAGGAGAAACATTTAAAAAATTGTAAGCTCAATTTGGTAATAATTAAAAAGGACTTTTTGCAGAATTGACCTAAAACTTGAAGTTAACCACAAAACTAACCTCCTTTTTTGCCCAATTCACCCCACAAGTTCATATAATTCACGAAAATGCCATCAAATTTTTTTTTTTTTTCGAAAATAACATATTTACGCTCTCACCCTCATCATCTTCAAGTAATTACAAGATTGCCATTGTCATCAATACTCCAACAACCATGAACAACCAATTTTGAAGCTCTTAATGCCTCCAAATTCCATTTAGCCTTCTTCTTTCTCTATTCTCATGAACTAAACAACACATTACAACACATATCTCTCACTTTCTCTCCATAATGAGCTAAAAAAACCCAAGATTTTGATTCTACATTTTTTAGGGTTCATATAGTCAAAGAAATTAAAGATTCAAGGTGGATTACCTTTGTTTGAGCTCTTCAGTGCTTGATTCTACATTTTCTAGGATTCATATAGTCAAAGAAAGTGCTCTCACCAATTGAAGGTATGAAATCGAGTTATTTTTTGCGATATGTTCGTCCAGACGACTGAAATTTCAGTCGTCTGCTTTCGTCCAGTCAACGCAGAAGTTATATTTGCAATTGACTTTGCAATTTGTTTCCAGAGACGACTGAAATTTCTGTCATCTGCTTTATTTTGGCTACAAAAAAATATCTTAAGAGTCTAGACGACTGATATTTCAGTCGTTGTATGTTAGTTTTGCATTTGACTAAAAAATTTCAGAATTTTGACTTTCTAGGACGACTGAAATTTCAGTCGTCTGCGAAAAAACTGAAATATCATTTTTTTTATTGGAACGCACGACTTACAATAGGTTAGTTTTGCAATTGTGAAAAAAAACTTTAACTTTCTAGACGACTGAAATTTCAGTCGTCCCTGGGACGACTTACAATTTAGTCGTCCAGGATTTTATTCCGAGATTCTGGTCAAACCTCGTATATCCTAGACGACTGAATTATAAGTCGTCCCAGGGACGACTGAAATTTCAGTCGTCTAGATTTTTTTAAATATTGAAGTTTGTTTTCGCAATTGCAAAACTAACCTACGACGACTGAAATGTAAGTCATCCAATTTCAATAAAAAATTGATATTTTATTTTTTCGCGGACGACTGAAATGTAAGCCGTCCTAAAAAGTCAAACTTCTGAAATATTCTAGTCAAATGCAAAACTAACCTTCGACGACTGAAATTTCAGTCGTCTAGATTTTTTTTATCAAACATACCCAGACGACTGATATTTCAGTCGTCCCAACTAACTAATTTCAAAGTCAATTGCAAAAATAACCTCTGCGTTGACCAGACGACTGAATGTTTAGTCGTCTGGACGACTTACATTTCAGTCGTCTGCTTCGATCTCTAATAAACTTTCTTTTTCTTTCTTATATGTTTGCTAATGTGTTTTATTTTTACTATCTCAGATGATGCATCAGTTACGTGCAGTGTATGGAGAATGGTTGTTGGAAGATGGTTGTTGGAATTTTGTGGTTGATCGTTTCAAAGGAGCAAGATTGTTTTTATTGAATGAAGATTCAACACATGCTGAACTTGTGGCAATGGCTCAAGAAGATTATAACCTGGACA